TGTGATCTGTACATAATTTCTTCTTCTCAAAGTATGTTCTAATTGGTAGGGGTGTAAATGAATCGAACACGAACGAACATAACTTGTGTTGTTCGTTTGAAATTTAGTTTATTTGAAATAAACTCGTGTTCGAAATTGTTCGTAAAGTCGTTGTTTGTGTTCGTTTCATAACGAACGAGCAAAACATGAGCTGTTCGAGAACGACGAACCAGTTTAGTCAGTTTGACATCCTAATATTAATATATATAAATAATATTATATATTAATTATATAACTTATATTATATAAATATTCAATATTTATATTAGTATATTACTACTATAGTATATTAATATATTATTATTATTTCAGAAGAATGGATGATGACAAAACCCCATATGGATTTCAACCAGATCAAGAGCTTGAACAGTTACAGCCATATGAGTTATGAACTCGTTGCACCACTAAGCTATCTCAAAACAATGGCTTAGAAGGTCAGCTTGTTTGATAACTCATAACATGATTTGCAAGAAGATCCTCTATAGACAGACATGCAGATGTATGATTATATGAAAAAAGATATGAAGACAGTTTGTTTTATATTTTGTATTGTGTACTCAATGATGTGCTAGTTGTGCGTTCAGCATAATGTAGTTTTCATCTTTGAAATATGTACATGATATCATTTAACTAACCGAACGAAAGAAATTTGTTCACGTTCGTCTCGTTTACTTATCGAACGAATCGAATACGAACTCATTGACGAACCGAACACGAACTGTTCGCGAACAACGAGCTTTTTTGATAGCCCTAAATAAGAATATAATTATATTCTAAAATTTAAACTTTAATTTTTACATTAACATCTCTCAAACAACTTTAATTTTTACATGTACATATCTAAAATCTCCAAAAAAAAAAAAAATCATTATTTTAACTCAAAAAACCTAAAATTTAAACTTTAATTCTTACATGTACATATCTAAAATCTCAAAAAAAAAAAAAATCATTATTTTAACTCAAAAAAAGAAAAAACTCTCTTTTTCATGCATATGTATAGTGATATATATAT